CAACTCCCTGATGCCTGACCGACCGAGAAGCTCCTGAAGTAGAAGAGCAAACAGAACGTGGAGATGCTACAGTGTCATTCTTTCTAGGTGCTGCTGTCATATTTGACAGGGAGGCTGAGTGGTGGCAAAAAATGGAGAGGTGGGAGAAAGGGAAAAGGATGCTGATTCACTGTAAGAGATAACGTTCCTCCTTGTTTCAGAGGTGAGGCAACCAGGCTAAGCCCAAGTCCAAGGTCAGGCAGTTGGTAACTGAGGGAGGTGCCTAGAAAGCAAACACCTTGCTCCAAGTCATAGACCCCAGGTCTCTGTGATTCTACGGCTCACGTCCCATGCATCCCACTGCACCCTGTTGTGGGAACCCCTCGTTATGGGACCCTGTAGAGGCAAACAGGGTCTCTTGCTTCCTGCAGGCTTGGTGCTGGCCACTGCTGCTTCCCCAGTCACCTACCGAGGCAGGCGGGCAGTGGTCTGCTAGTGCAGAGAACACAGGGGATGGCACCCTCTCGTCTCCTTCCGGCCCCAAAGCTCCTGTGCCTTAGTGTTTCTGGCCCACAGACTCAGGAACCAGCCAGCTGTGCAAAACCAAGGGACGCTATTCAGAGCTGCTGGTTGTCAAAGAGAGCATCCTAAAGGAATCCCAGCGATGATGCAGGACACGCCACCCATGGCCTCCAGCAAGGCCGAGATGTGCTGTCCTCACTTCCCTGTCCTCTCCAACCAGATTCCTAGAGCAAAGCCGACCTGGCTCACAAACCCCACATCTTTCACTGTACTGATGTGGATTAGGCATGGGGGGACAGGGGAGCAGCCAGGGGTCTGCTTGGCATGGCAGACAGCAGCCTCAGCCTTCTATGCCTCTGCAGAGTACTCTGCGTGAAGAAGGACTGATGGGAGGATTCTCACTCAAAGGCCCCCGTGTTCACGCTGGCTTGAAGAGGTGGCCCGCCCATGACTGGATGATTAGGCTACCATCAGGAAGAAACATTCCAATGACGGAGCCCAAAGTGAGAATGAGTGGTTGTTCCAGAGCGTGGGGTGAGGGAGGGGTTCCTAGCCCCCAGACTTTGAATTTGAACCACCTGGCTTACTTATTTAAACATTTGCAGGTGGCCGGTGCCGTGGCTCACTAGGCTAATCCTCCGCCTTGCGGCGCCAGCACACCAGATTCTAGTCCCGGTCGGGGTGCCGGATTCTGTCCCGGTTGCCCCTTTTCCAGGCCAGCTCTCTGCTGTGGCCCGGGAGTGCAGTGGAGGATGGCCCAAGTCCTTGGGCCCTGCACCTGCATGGGAGACCAGGAGAAGCACCTGGCTCCTGCCTTCAGATCAGCGCGGTGTGCTGGCCGCAGCAGCTATTGGAGGGTGAACCAACGGCAAAGGAAGACCTTTCTCTCTGTCTCTCTCTCTCTCACACTATCCACTCTGCCTGTCCAAAAAAAAAAAAAAAAAAAAAAAAAAAAACATTTGCAGGCCTTCAGGCCTTTCCCCGAATATTAGTATCTGGAGATACAGCCTAGATGTCACTGCATTTACTAAGCTCCTGAGGACTCTCTTAACCAGCCAGCCTTCAAACAGCACCCACACCAAGTCATTCCCAGTCATACAAGGCCCCACACTGGAATCCTGGCTCTGTGACTTGTCTGGCTTTGGAAGGGGTACCTATGTCACCTTGTTTATAAAACAGGGACATTGATATACACATGTTGGGATTGTTGTGGGTAAGTGAGAAAACGTAGACAAAAGGTTAGAGATAAGTTTGCATTTTGTCGAAATTAGCTTCTGTTCTTGGGATGAAGCACCGAATTGTGGGATACACACACGGAGCAGCCGAAAGGCTGGTGCAGAGATGTCAAAGCAGACAGATGATGGAGGTCTCACCCTGGACGAGAGGGAGTGTCTCCTCCTCGAGATTTTTAAAGAGCTAGCATTCAGGTTGCGTGTGTAGGGACGGGGTGGGAGGGTGTCCTCCTGCCCTTCCTGCCTCTCTTCCACCCCAGTCCTATTCTCTTGGAAGATGACCTTGACTTTCGCCCATGTATCCTGAACTCTTATCTTTTCCTAGAATGACTCCCAGCTTCTGAGCCACCTTTTAAGCTCTGCTGTGAGGAGCCCGTCCCCTGCAAGCGGACATTCTGCCAGCCTAGGGGAAGAGCAAATTTATTTCTTTTCGTGCTTGAAGACATTACTGGCTGCATGTTGTTTTAGTGCAGTGCATAATTACAGAAACCACTCTGAAAATCTGTATATTTTATCTGTGCTTTATTACACCCAGAATATTCCCCGATTCTTTTTCTTCTCCATGAACCAGCTTAAAATATATTTTGGCGTCCTTTATGTCATCTTGAAATTGAATAGCCAATTCTTACTGTAATGAAAATACTTATGCGCCAGCCCGGTGATATACAACACTACACTCTAATTACGGCTGTGCTTTAATTAACCTGAATTGAAGAGTGTTATCATTAAACTGCTGGTAACTTTGAGTTATGGCTTTTCTTTAATTTAAAGTAGAAAACACAGATAATTAAGCCCCCAGATAATCAAATGCTTGAGGAGAGCTTCAATGTTTTGGGATGTTCCTAAATCTCATTAAATGTCCTTTCTTTATTGATTATTTCTACCTCTGCTGTATCATTGTATTAAACGAATAATAGCATGGAGTTGGACACACTCTCACTCACATCAGAAGTTGGGCTCTTTCTGGTTTTTTTTTTTTTTTTTTTTTTTTTTTTGCTATTTCAGAAGCTTTTACTGAATTAACGCTAAATTCCCTGATAAATCAGGTCTGGAGAATTTTCTCCTCTTTGGAACATGTTCTAAATACACAAACCGATTAAAGGAAATAGTCAAGGCAGCCACTCATGCCCAGGTCTTGAGCTGCTCCTGAAGGCAATGGAGTTTCACACTGCCAATGGCCTGCGTTGGCAAGCTTGCAGGTACATGCGCCAGGCGGGGGATACAGACACAAATCTGGGCTGATTTAAGATGTGAGGGGGTGAAGGACAGCCCTAACCCCTTGGACACAGTAAACTGGAGCCAGTTAAGTTCCTGAGAAAAATCAGGTTTCGTGTGGCCACATCATACCTTTAGGGGAGGCCAGGAGTCTGGTATCATGTGAAATATTATTGTTTTGAAATACTAGTAACTAGATCTTAAGAAATCAAACACTGTGGGTCAACTATGTGAGTCCAAAGCACCCTGCAAGGTATCCTCAGTCAGAGCCTCTACTGGGAGCAGTCCTAACCCTTCTAGTTGACTTAAAATGAACAGACTCAGTTCCCAGCCACAAAATAAGAAGAGGGAGAAAGCAGAAAGAATCGGGGGGCATTGGAAGGCACAGTCATGTTAGACATCAAAGCAAGACAACCCTCGGAAAATCAACAGCTGAGGATGGGGGCTAATGCCTGGGACATCCCACTCTGCCCTTGCTGGCATTGGCAGCTCTGCTGCGTACTCAGAGCCACCCCCACATTGGATACAAGAGACCTCAACTGCATTTTTAGTACCAGCTTCTGTTTTAAGCACCAACTTCCCCCGGGGTTTCTATCCTAGGCAGGGCAAGCTCCAAGGAAGAGAAATCCCGCGGGACAGCCTCAGTGTTCCAAGACCCAAGGCCTCTGCATGGTTAACTTCTTTCCCTGGCAGAAAGAGAAATTGCTTTCAAAGAAAGGAACACATGGGAGTGACAATAGGGCATCCATTTGCAGAAAATAACTCCTTCTGAATCAATTACCTATTCACTTTTCCAGTCCATTTAGCATTTAAACTTTTGCTTAGAGACAGGGCGAGAAATTTCAGTAAACAGCCGAACCATTTTGGATTGCTGAGGGTCTGGGCCCAGGGACTGGCAGAGTGCACCCGCTGTGTTCACTGACAGGAGTCTCCAGGTAAACACAGAGCAACCAAGTGCTCCGTTCCCTCCTCTCCCTGCTCTATACAGAACAGAACACGTGAACCGGAGAGCGAGAGCCCTCAGGACTAACCTCCCCTTTGCCGTAAAGGGCACTTGCTTTCGTCTCAATACCTTTGGATCTTTTTTTCCAGAAGGTGGATTTTGTCTGTGCGCTGGCAGGGAGCAGAGGGAATGGCTTCTCTTCCTCAAATAGGTTCTCAGATTTCTCTGTTTCCGACCAGTTTTCATCAGTGAGACAGCATTTATCAAAGCCTTTGTTAAGGTGTCAATGGATCAGGCTTTCTGTTTCACCATTTTCAGGAAGTTTGCATTTTAATAGAAGACAAAGCCCCCGTCTGGGATAAACCCAACACCTGAGATTCTAAGCGGGGATCAGACACCACCATGCGTCACACTGGCCACCTGGAGCTCCTGAGGTCATCGGCCATCAGGGGTCACCGATTCTACTGGGAAGGGACACAGCAGCCTGGGGCTGCCCTTTGCTCTGATCACGCTGCTGAGCCAGTTAGGAGAAACTCAGCCTTGCTGCTATTACACCATGGCAGCTGTCCACTTGGGACTAGATTGCTAAGGGCTTGTTCAAGTCTTCCTTCTCTATATTTGGGACCACAGGTCCTCAGAAAAAGGTGAAAACACTCTGAGTTTATTTCAGTAGCTTCTTCAATATCTCTAGGATCTGACTTGAATGGGAGACAGATTAAAATTCCTTTCATCAAGCGGTGGCAGGATTTGGTGCTGCTTTATTAGAATCAGACAGACATGGGCTCATGCCACCATCCTTACAGGTGTCCACATCACAGGAGCAAGGCTCAAGAAACGCAGGGTAACTACTGTTCATGTTACTAGAAACAAGGGTCCATGCCCAAGATTCTCAGGCCTGGAGGGAAAAGCAGGGCCAACAGAGATCCTTAAGGCCAAGACAATGGTATAACGCCTTGCTGTCCTGCTCATTGCAAAGAGCTAAACACAAAGAGTGCCTTTGGACATTGCCAAGTGTCCCGAGTGTTCTGAAAAGAAGGGGGCGGTTTTCCTGCAAGGGGCACATAAGACATCCCTGGGAGCCAAAGAGCGTCTAGTTAGTGGTCACTTACTCACAAACAGTAGGGAAGGACAGACCCACGAAGGCACTGGACAGATACTCTGTGTACATTTCATTTGAGACTCCTTCCAAGTAATACTTCTGCCACGTGTCTTCCTCGATCTAGGAGAAGAACACAGGGAGAGGTTTAAAACAGAATGGTGGGCTGTGAGGGGCACCTTGAGTCAGACCCTCTGGCCAGCAAATGAAGGGGCTAGTCAGGTGATGGTGGTCACCGTCAGCACCTAGGAACGCAACCACAGCACGCCACACCCAAGGGAGCTGCCAATGACACTTAATTCACAGACCTGAGGTTCAGGGCCTCGAAAGCACTCTGGGAGCTCAGGGACGTCATGGGTCTCCTGCAGGAAGGCAGGTCTCTGCCTCCCCAGGGAACCCAGGCCACAGCCTCCCAGACTTCATTTCCAGCGGGGACTCAAGTAAGACAAAGAGGAGAGGAAGCCACCCAGCCAACAGGAAGTGGCTCTGCAGAATTTCTTGTGCTGATCTGGAATTAAAAGGCATCTTGCCTGTAGCCCCATCAGTCAATCAACTGGGAAAAATACAACACCCGGATTCGAAAGACACAGGGCCACTGCAGGACAGGGCACGAGTGCCCATCTGCAAAAGGTCTTCAAAGAGTTCACAGAAAATGCAGCATGTTTTCTTTTCACTCCAGTTTTCCATGAACCTTCTGAAAAACCACTTGTATTTGGTGACACTCTGGCACACAGAAACCAGAAAGAAAAATATCTGGAAACCAACGGATCACTCCTCTGTAGCCCTTATGCTATTTGCCAGTTTGCACTGGTCCTGGGTCATTAGATGCTGTGGATTGGTCCCACTGGTTGGAGCTGCTTCTAATCTACTCTCACAAGCTAGACATGAGCTCTGCAAGGCTGCTGGCAATGGCTTGGTGATCTCTAAGTTAGTCCTCTCAGAGTGAAGTCTCCAAAATAAAAAGTTACTCAACCATTTCTATTGTGAAACAACATCTTTTTAAAAATTAATTGCAATGTGTCTAGCAAAGCACAAATCTTTTAATTTCCCCAAATCATAAGATCTCATTTTTTTTCAAATGAAAAATATTCTTGATTTACAAGCAAAGGTCACTAATTCTAACTAATTTGAAGAAAGTCTATTTTACATTATTAAATTTTTTGAAATATAGAATATTTGAGGAACAATATTACCTCCATTTGTTTTCTAAGTAAATAGGATACTAGATGAGACATTGCTAGTTATAAATCTTATACTAGGGCTTTATTGGAAAATACTCATAGTATTCCTGAAGTGGAAGAATTCTTATTCTTTTAGCAGACATGTATTTTATAAAGTGTTTGTAGGTTCTAACTTAACTATCTCTTTGAAACTTACTTATTCATTTTAATTTATTTGAAAGGCAGAGAGAAAAAGATGAGATGGACATAGAGAGATCTTCTACCTTTTGGTTCACTGCCCAAATGCTCCTAAGAGCCAGAGTTGGGCCAGGCTGGAGCCAGGAGCCTGGAACTCAACCCATGTCCCCTATGCCGGTGGCAGGAACTCAAGTACTTGAGCCATCCCCTGATGACTCCCAGGCTGTGCGTTAGCAGGAAGCTGGCATTAGAAGCAGAGCTGAGACCTGAACCCAGGCACGCCAATACAGGATGCAGGGTATCCCAAGAAGTATCTTAACTACTGTGCCAAATGCCCACCCTTGAACCTTGATCATTATTATTGGTTATTGGTGGTAGTCCTCAATTAATATGCCTTTAATAGTATTTCTTTGCATTATGGTCAGTGTTCTCATATCTCTGTCTTAATGAACCTACTCTTTGGAGAAAATTTTATTCTAATCACTAATCATTTAAATATAAGGAAACAGGTTATTCAGATTTCTTTGAATACTGAAATTCAGAGAAAAATGTTTCACTGGTCCATTCAGTCAGTAAATTTCTGCCGAGTATATTTTGTATGTTTATATTTGTTCTAGTTGCTGATTAAGTCTTATTTTAAACTGGCATTAATTTCCCCATATTTTTCTCTTTGCTGGGAAAAGCATCAGATCTCTCTAGCTAAGGTATATCTCACAGGTAGAACTGACTATTATGGATTTTTCCACATCTCCTTTCCTGCAAGTTTGCTTTTGTGGTTAATTAGAAATGCCTGGGAACTACAAGTCAAGTAACCAGAAAACTGTGCAGAACATTCTGCAAAGCAAACTTTCTCTTCTGTCTCCATATGTGGATTCTCGGATGGTATCTGCAACACTGTGTTAGTAGCACTGAATCAACTGTATAAATACAGCTGCTGGTGGCTCCACAAAACATTAAAAATACAGTTACTATATGATTAACATTTCCAATCCTAGAATACAAACAAAAGACTCAGAAATAAGGAATATTTGTACACTCATGCTCATAGCAGCACTGGTCATAACAGCCAAGTGTTCACAGGCAGGAGAATGGCTAAAAGTGTGGTGTATACAAACAAGGGAAGATTATTCAGCCTTAAAAAGGAAGGAAATTCTAACACATGCTACAGCATGGATGAACCCTGAAGGCATTACCCTAAGCGAAACAACTAAATCACAAAAAAAGACAAATATTTTAGGATTCCATTTGTATGAGGTTCCTAGAAAAGTCAAATCCATTAAATTAGAGAATAAAATGGTAGCTATCAGCCGTTGGGGGAGGGAGAAGGTTTAGTTATTGTTTAACTGCTGTAAGATGTCAGCTTTCATAGGAAAAATAAATTCTGGAGGGGAATGGTGGCACTGGTCATACAACCATGTGTATGTACTTAATACCACTTAAAAAGGTTAAGATAGTTCATTTCAAGTTTTGTATATTTTACTACAATTAGAAAAAAATAGTGAAAAAAAACTCATATGCAAAATATAAGAGTAGAAGAATCAGTAATTATTATTAAGGCTGGGACCCTCTAATCCTTACAGCAAGAATGACAGGCTGTACTGGAACAAGGGTGAGAATAAGTCCACGACACTGGGGTGCACGGCTCAGTCGGGCTGCAGGGCTGCAATCTTCACACCTGTGCAAGGGCTTCAATCATTACGTCCTATCAAGGTTTCTAAGCTCAAGCATAATACCTTTGACTTACTTTGAAAAAGCAAAAATAGAAGTGTACATCCCCCTTACCTCAGCCCATGCATTCTTAGGAAGGCAAAAATCAGCATAAAATATGTCAAATTTTAAAATCTTGTCTTAACCCTGAAAAAATCAAGGTGAAGAAAGAAATCCGGGGAGAGTGGATGGATTCATTGTCAGGATTCCCCTTTCACGGATGACAAAACAGGGGTGCAGAGGTTTAGCAACACAGACAAAGTCACAAAACCAATGAGTGGTGTGGGCCGGATACAGAACTGATGCTCTTACTCTCACCACAGGAATTCCTGCAAGAGAGGACTAGCTAGATGCCTAGGGGAGTTGGAGTACCAGGATTTGGGAAGGGGAAGATTTGCTTTGTAAAATACCTAAGTGGCAAATATTAGAATAGAAGCTCCCTAAGGACTCAAGAGCTCCAACCCTGAGCCCAAGACCGAAAGGTCAGTAAGATGCAACACTGCTTTTGATTTCGGCTGGAAGGGTAATTCAGGCTTCCTGTCAAAGCACACCAGCCTCATTTCTGTTACATAAGATGGAACCACTGCAACCTATACCTTCTTTTCCAAAATAGTACATGCTGCTCTCCACATTTGTGTTGTCAACGTATTTTTGCTTATAACGTGAAGACACTTCCCAGCAGAAAAATGAAGGAATGGGACCAAAATGACTCAGGGAAAGGTGCCAAAAATTCATTAGCCAGCCATTCAGCAATCAGTCAAAGGCAAAATGTTTCCTGAGGCAACAGTTTGTCTTCTGCCTGTCACATCAAACCCTAGCCACTACAGAGGAGCAGCTGGCAAAGGTGGGCAGGTGATGCACTGTAGGTCCTGAGTCGTCAGACACACACAGCATTGTCGGGGAGGAAGGGTAGCTAGCTGAGCCACTGGGATAGTCTGTCCACACCTTTCATGCTCTTCCCTATCTACTTTCCGTCATCTCATTTCTCAGCCAGTCTAGTTTATCCTCCCTGGCAAATGGTTTTCCACCAATCCACAGGAAGACGGCGCCACCATCAAATGTGATTTCCAACTGGAAACCACAGTCATGTCCCCAGGAGAGCCACACCTTCCTGGTCCTGGGTTCTGTGTGTGTTGCTAATGGTGGGTCAGTAATGATGGCTTTTATTTTTTATGTTTCCTCTGATTAGAGTGAAACTGTGTTTCTCTAATGTTAACAGCCCTATGAATGGGAAAAATTCAACTCTCTTGGCTGGGGTATGTTACAGCCACTGTGATTTCTGTCCCCAATAAAGAGTCTGAATAACTATGTTGATTACAGCCAAATAATTCTGCAAATGTCCATCCCTACCTCTGGAGTCATGTAAATAATTCCAAAGATTTTCATACAAGATCCTCATTTAATTGAAAACAAGTACCCTGTTTTAATCCAAATACATGTTATATTATGCACATCAAAAACAAAGAACTAAAAGGAAATTATAAAAACCAATGACCATTATGTTAATAGCGGCAATAAGAAGAGATGAGTCGTAACATACACGAATGAACATTGCCCAAACGAGTCGTAGGAAGTTAGTGTATTATTTATTTACTGCATATACTATTTTTAAAAATCTATTTGAATTCTCAGTGAATATTTTCCTCCGAAGGACCCACATTTTTAACTCACAGAAGTGCTTAATAAGAAAAAACTAGCTATATCTGAACAAATATTTGTGCCTATAAATTATATAACACATCGCCACTGTCCTTTATAACATGACAGCCTACAACAAACAGTGCTGACATGAACTGACCGACGTATCTCAGATCCCATAAAAAGATATTTATTTTGACAAAAAGAGATGGCATGCACCGAATGTGTCAAGCCCTTGACTACAACAATAAACACGGAATCAGAATCTGCAGGGTTGAATCTGATGAGTGTGGGGGCTGGTTACCAAGGTGAGTGGCGTCATTCATCAAGAGCATGCTCTGTCACTGGGAAAAGTTGACTGAACGTAGCATCTGCTCACTTCTTGATGGAAAGAATGATATTAAGGGCCCTGGGTGTTAG